CCAGGATCCCATGTGGGAAGGTCAGGATTTCTCGTGGGAACATCGGGATTCCATGTGGGAACGTCCAAATTCCACGTGGGACTGTCCAAATTCCACGTGGGAATTCCAGGATCCCATGTGGGAACGTCAGGATTTCACGTGGGAACATCGGGATTCCACGTGGGAAGGCTAGGATGTTGTAGGAACACCAGGATTCCACGTGGGAATGTCAGGGTTCCGCATGGGAACATCGGGATTCCGTGTGGGAACGTCAGGATTCCGTGTGGGAACATCAGAATCCTGTAGGAACACCAGGATTCCACGTGGGAAGGTCAGGGTTCCGCATGGGAACATCGGGATTCCGTGTGGGAACGTCAGGATTCCACATGGGAACGTCGGCATCCTGTAGGAACACCAGGATTCCACGTGGGAAGGTCAGGATTCCATGTGGGAACATCGGGATCCTGTAGGAACACCAGGATTCCACGTGGGAACGTCCAAATTCCACGTGGGAACGTCGGGGCCCTGTGTGGGACTGTCCAAATTCCACGTGGGAATTCCAGGATCCCATGTGGGAACGTCAGGATTTCTCGTGGGAATGTCAGGACCCTTTGTGGGATTGTTCAAATTCCACGTGGGAATCCCAGGACCCCATGTGGGAATGTCAGGATTTCGCGTGGGAACGTCAGGATCCCTTGTGGGAACGCCAGGATGTTGTAGGAACACCAGGATTCCACGTGGGAACGTCAGGATCCTGTAGGAACACCAGGATTCCACGTGGGAACGTCCAAATTCCACGTGGGACTGTCCAAATTCCATGTGGGAATGTCAGGATTCCACGTGGGAACATCGGGATTCCGTGTGGAAAGGTCAGGATTCCGTGTGGGAACGTCGGGATCCTGTAGGAACACCAGGATTCCACATGGGAACACCAGGATTCCACGTGGGACTGTCCAAATTCCACGTGGGAACGTCAGGATTCCGTGTGGGACTGTCCAAATTCCACATGGGAATGTCGGGGTCCCGGTGGGAACGCCGGGATCCCTTTGGACCGTGCGCTCTCTCTCTCTCTCTCCACGCTCAGATCAGATCTCTCTCGATAAACCACGGCTCCAACGCCTGCTCCGGTTTTTGGGGAGCGACGGAACCGGGATCCGGGAATGGGGATCTGGGCATGGGAATTGGGATCCAGGAATGGGAATGGGGATCCGGGAATGGGAATGGGGATCTGGACATGGGAGTTGGGATCTGGGCATGGGAATTGGGATCTGGGGATGGGAATTGGGATCCAGGAATGGGAATTGGAATCTGGGCATGGGAGTTGGAATCCAGAGCTGGGAGTTGGGATCTGGAACTTGGAATTGGGATCTGGAGCTGGGAATTGGGATCCAGGCCCAAGAATTGGGATCTGGGCCCAGGAGTTGGGATCTGGGCACGGGAATTGGGGATCCAGGCATGGGAACTGGGATCAGGGCCAGGAACTGGGATCCAGGGCTGGGAGTTTGGATCCAGCCCCTGGAATTGGGATCCAGGCACAGGAGTTGGGATCTGGGCACGGGAATTGGGATCTGGGGATGGGAATTGGGATCTGGACATGGGAATGGGGATCCAGGTGTTGGGATCAAGAGTTGGGAATTGGGATCCGGGCACGGGAATGGGGATCTGGGTGAGAAATTGGGTCCAGGGCTGGGAATTGGGATCTGGGCATGGGAGTTGGGATCCCGGGCTGGGAATTGGGATCCAGGGCTGGGAGTTGGAATCTGGGCACGGGAGTTGGGATCCAGCCCCGGGATTTGGGATCCAGCCCCAGGATTGGGATCCAGCCCCAGAATTGGGATCCGGCCCCAGGATTTGGGATCCAGCCCCGGAATTGGGATCTGGCCCCAGGATTTGGGATCCAGCCCCGGATTTTGGATCCAGTCCCGGGATTTGGGAATTCAGCCCAGTGTCCCCAACCCTNGGGAATTTTGGGAATTTTTGGGATATTTGGGAATTGGAGACTCGGCTATCCCATGGGAAATTTGGGAATTTTGGGGTTTTTGGGAACGGGAGGACTCGGGTATTCCATGGCAAATTTGGGAATTTGGGGAATTTTTGGGGTTTTTGGGAATGGGGGACTCTGGTATTCCATGGGAAGTTTGGGAATTTTGGGATATTTGGCATTTGGGAATGAGGGACTCTGGTATTCCATGGGAATTTTGGAGTTTTTGGGAATTTTGGTATTTTTGGGAATGGGGGACTCGGGTATCCCATGGGAAATTCAGGAAATTCGGGAATTTTGGGGTTTTTGAGAATGGGGGACTCGGGTGTTCCGTGGGAAATTTGGGAATTTTTGGGGTTTTGGGGATATTTGGGATTTGGGTATGGGGGACTCCGGTATCCCATGGGAATTTTGGGAATTCTGGGGTTTTGGGGATATTTGGAATTCCAGAATCCCAATGGCAATTTTGGGGTTTTTGGGATCCCATGGGATATTTTGGAATGGGAGATTCCGGCATTCTAATGGGAATTTTGGGAATTTCATTAATTTTGGGATTTCTAGGAATGGGAAACTCCGGTATCCCGAAAGAATTTTGGGATTTTATTTGGGAATAGGGGACTCCAGTCTCCCAATGGAAATTTGGGGATATTTGGGATTTTTAGAAATGGAAAACTTCGGGATCCCAAAGGAATTTGGGGGGTTTTGGGAATATTTGGGAATGGGGGACTCGGGTATCCCAACAGGGATTTTGGGATATTTGGGGTTTTTTGGGAATGGGGAACTGCAATATCCCAAGGGATTTTTGGGATTTGGGAATTGGGGACTCCACTATCCAGTGGGAATTTTGGGGTTTTTGGGATATTTGGGAATGGGACGCTCTGGTATCCAATGGGAATTTTGGGGATTTTGGGGTTTGGGGGATTTTGGGATATTTGGGAATAGGGGACTCCGTTATCCCAGCGGAAATTTTGGGATATTTAGGATTTTTCAGAATGGGAAACTCTGGTATCCCAAAGGAATTTTGGGAATTTTGCAGATTCTAAGGGGTTTTGGAAATAAGGGCCACTGGGATTCCATGGGAATTTTGGGATATTTAAGAATGGGGGACTCGGGTGTCCCAACAGGAACTTTGGGATATTTGGGATATTTTGGGAATGGGGAACTGCGATATCCCAAGGGAATTTNGGATTGGGATTGGGATTGGGATTGGGATGGGATTGGATTGGGATGGGATTGGGATTGGGATGGGATTGGGATGGGATTGGGATTGGGATGGGATTGGGATCGGGATTGGGATTGGATTGGGATGGGATTGGGATTGGATTGGGATTGGATTGGGATGGGATTGGGATGGGATTGGGATTGGGATTGGATTGGGATTAGGATGGGATTGGGATTGGATGGGATTGGATTGGGATGGGATTGGGATGGGATTGGGATGGGATTGGGATTGGGATGGGATTGGGATTGGGATTGGGAATGGAGTTTAAATTGGGATTGGATTGGGATTAGGGCTGGGATCGGGATTGGGATTGAGATTGGATTGGGATTGGGATTGGGATGGGATTGGGATGGGATTGGATTGGAATTAGGGCTGGGATCGGGATTGGGATTGGGATTGGATTGGGATGGGATCGGGATTGGGATTGGGATGGGATTGGGATCAGGATTGGGTTTGGGATTGGGATTGGGAATGGAGTTTGAATTGGGATTGGATTGGGATTAGGGCTGGGATCGGGATTGGGATTGGGATGGGATTGGGATTGGGATTGGGATTGGGATGGGATTGGGATGGGATTGGGATTGGGATGGGATTGGGATGGGATTGGGAATGGAGTTTGAATTGGGATTGGATTGGGATTAGGGCTGGGATCGGGATTGGGATGGGATTGGGATGGGATTGGATTGGGATTGGGATTGGGATTGGATTGGGATTGGGTTGGTTTGGGATTGGGATTGGATTGGGATGGGATTGGGATTGGGATCAGGATTGGGATTGGGATTAGGGCTGGGATCGGGATTGGGATGGGATTGGGATTGGGATGGGATTGGGATGGGATTGGGATGGGATTGGGATTGGGATGGGATTGGGATGGGATTGGGATTGGGATCAGGGATAGGATTGGGATTGGAGCTGGGATCGGGGCTGGGATCGGGATTAGGGCTGAAAGTGGAGTTGGGATTGGAGCTGGGTTGGGATTGGGATCAGGGCTGGGATTGGGATCTGGGCTGGGATTGGGATTGGGATTAAGGCTGGGATCAGGATTAGGATTGGGATTGGGGTCGGGATTGGGGCTGGGATCAGGTTGAGGCCTGGGATTGGGATCAGGATTGGGATTGGAGCCGGGATCAGGAATGGAGCTGGGATTGGGATTGGGATTGGAATCAGGATTGGGATCAGGGATTTGGATCGGAATTAGGGCTGGGATTTGGGTTGGGATTGGAATTGGAATCGGGATTGGGATTGGGACTAAGGCTGGGTTCAGTGCCACGATGAGGATTGGGATTGAAATTGGGATTGGGATTGGGATCAGATTGGGATTAGGATCAGGCTGGGATTGGGATCAGATTGGGATTGGGATCAGATTGGGATTGGGATTTGGGATCGGGATCAGGGTCAGGGCTGGGATTGCAGTTGAGAATGGGATTGGGATTGGGATTGAGACTGGGATCAAGATTGGGGTAAAGGATCAGGATTGGGATAAAGGATTGGAATTTGGGATTGGGGTCAGATTGGGATAAAGGATTGGGATTGGGATAAAGGATTGGGATTGGGATTGGGATTGGATTCAGATTGGGATTGGGACTTGGGATTGGGATCAGAGTCAGGGCTGGGATTGCGGTTGAGGATGGGATTGGGATTGGGTGCAGGATTGGGATCAAGTTCGGGATAAAGGATTGGGATTGGGATCAAGTTTGGGATAAAGGATCCAGGATCAGGATTGGGGTCAGGATTGGGATTGGGATTGGGATCAGGATTGGGATTGGGATCAAATCTGGGATAAAGGATCAGGATTGGGATTGGGATTGGGATCAAGCTTGGGATAAAGGATCGGGATTGGGATTGGGATCAGGAATCGGGATCAAGTCTGGGATAAAGGATTGGGATCAGGGATTGGGATTGGGTTTGGGATCAGGACCGGGATCCGCTCCAGGACCATTCCCGGCTCTCCCGGGATTTTGGCGCCGCCCCCGCCCCATTCCCGGGATTTTCCTCTCCGGGATCATTTCTGGGATGAGCAGGGGCCGAGTTTGGGATTCCTTTGAAACCCCAAAATCCTCGGGATGGGCGGGAATAATTCCCAGAATTCCGGCAGATCCAGGATCTCCTCTCCAACCAGGAGCAGCAGAAACC